CCCTTTCCCTCCCCACAACAGACACCCTGTGAGGTAGGTGGGGCTGAGAGAGCTCTTGACAGAAACTGCTCTTTTTCAAGAACAGCTGTTATCAGAGCTATGGCTTACCCAAGGTCATCCAGCCAGGTGCAAGTGGAGGAGTGGGGAATCAAACCCGGTTCTCCCAAATTAGAGTCCATGCACTTAACCACTACACCAAACTGGGTAGGGTGGTGGTTCCCAAGGGTTCCCGGGCCCTCCTAAATTTCTGGAGAGCCCCTTCCTAAATCCCATGTGGCTCCGCCTCCATAAATAGTGACAATGGCCTGCGACATCACTGGCTCCTCCCTATGATGTCACTGGGCCTCTGTTCTTACCGGGAAATTGGAAAGTCTACGCCCTTGGTTCCTGTGACTAGGAAGACATTAGCTGTTCTGGAGAAGTAACTGAGAAAAATTAGCTCCATCTAAGTGCTCTTCCACACCACATGCATGTTGGGCGGGATAATGTAATAACCCAGACAATATGGATAGTTGCATTCGGTGTCTGTCTCTGAAGTGGCGGCAGCTACAAGCATGGACGGCTTCAAAAGGGAATTAGATAAGCATATGGAGCAGAGGTCCATCAGTGGCTATTAGCCACAAGGTATAGATAGGGACTCTGGGGCAAGTGATGCTCTGTCATCTTGGTGCTTGGGGGGGGGGTCAACAGTGGGAGGGCTTCTAGTGTCCTGACCCCACTGGTGGACCTCCTGAGGGCCCCTGGCCACTGTGGGATACAGAGTGTTGGACTGGATGGGCCTTTGGCCTGATCCAACATTGGCATCTCTTATGTTCTTACTGTCTGGTCTGTTCCACATGCTGTGGCTTTGACCCTGAAATAAGAAACAGGTTATTAGTGTTTGGTAAGCAGTACCAATAACTTAAGTGGACTGCCTTGTATTCACCAACTAAGGAGACTATGCTCCCCAATGTCTTAACCTGCCCTAGGTGGGGTTTACCCATAATGGAGGAGGGTTTGAGGCCAACAGGACCAGCCTTTTTGCTCCCATTCAATACTGGAGGGAAAACAAGATGCTACATAATCTCCCCATATTTTGAGCGATTATATTATAGGTGCTTGAATGTTCAGCACTTTTTTTAAGGGTCAGGGACTGGTGGATATTCAGGAATACTGGTTTAGGATACGATTTCTCCTTGCCTGACTTACTTGTTTCGGGTGCCTTGTCCTTGCAGGTTCAGCTGCAGCCTTGAAGCTTAGATTCCTGGTGGGCACAAAGGTCTGCAGACCTGGCACAGGGAACCTGTAAGGCTTCTGAGAAGACACATTTTATCTCTTTCTACTTTTTCCACTGTCCTTTATTTTCTGTTGTTTTTGCAAAGTATTCCTTTTGTATACTGTCAAAAGTTTACACTCTTTATTCTAAACAGATAGAGTACAGCAATATATCCCTACACTGTTCCACTTCATATATAAACTTAATGTTCCCTTGTTGGGACCTATATACTCCTGGCGGCATGCTGCACTAACTGCAGATTAGTTAGAATTGTTTTTCCATTGTGGCTGTGGGGCAGGGTGGAGAGATCAGACACCTGTGGCTTACCATTGGCTTCAATTGGGGTATTTTCCTTTATGCCACACTTTTTGGTGATGCACCATTATTTCATATCATTTCATTTACAAGACTTATAGACCACTCTTCCCTGTGACCATGCTCAGAGCAGGTGACAACAACCAATAAAACATTCAACAATCTAAGATAAATATATAATTACAATAAATACAATAAAATTCATAATAAATACAAGCAACAATGCAATTAGAAGAGGGTATAAAATATCAGGGAGGAATAATATAGACACTATCTACTCGGAGAGGAAAGGGAAGAGGAAGGGAAGAAGGGAAGAACAGAGAGGAGGAGGAGGCCAGTCCATGACGGAGGCTGTCGCTGCCCTCAACTATAAGCCCGATGGAACAACTGTGTATCAGGTCCCACAGGGCCCAGATCTCATCCGAGAAGGCCCTGGCTCTAGTTGAGGGCAGTTGGATGCTCTTCAGGTCAGCGATCACCAGCAGATTTTGATCACTAAAACGTAACGTTCTTTGCCATAGAAAGCAAGAATGAGCCCCAGAGAGGGCAGAGGATTCTTTCTACTTTCAGCTTCTCCTGCACCCATGCCTCCACTATGTCTATTCTCCCCCCCCCCAAAGGTTCCACAGTCAATAGCTGCTGCCAGCGAAGGGTACTACTGCGCCGGCACAGATTCACTATACCAGTATATCTTTTGTCTCCACTGTCACTGAGGTATTTAGTAGCAATTGTATCCCAATCCAGTGCACATAACTTGGGGGAAGGAACATAGTGAAAACCAGTTTCTCAGAATTCAGGATCATCCCTGCCTTCACAATTGGTCTGAAGATCCTTGCCATAGTTCACACCCAGAAAGGAAAGCCACAGATATGTTGCAGGCCACTGCTAGCTTTAAAACTGCCCCTGCTGTTCTGTTACAGAAGAAGCCCAACAGCCTCCAAAGGAAGCAAATTGACAACTGATACATTTTACCTGATTTGACAAACAGCCATGAGTTGAGCACGGTAGGTCTCTTCATTCTCTGGCCTCAGCAGCAGAAATGGAAGTTCACACCTCAGTCTGGCAGACATTTTCCCACACTGTGCATACTCCATGATGTCATACATTATCATTGCCCTGGGAAAATTTTCCAATGATAATCTTCTCCAGTAGTTATGTCTGCCACCAAAGTATGCTGGAGTCTCATCCAAATGACTGCTATACTAGAGACATAAAGCAACAATATTTTTGAGAAATTAATTAGAAGTATATTAGAATTCATTGGTATTTTTGCAAGCTGCCTCCATTTCTGCAAGTGATGGATTAAATCAGGGGTGGCCAAACTGTGGCTCGGGAGCCATGTGCGGCTTTCACACATATTGTGTGGCTCCCAGCCAGTGTGCCCCTCCATGGGTAGGCTTGAGGTGGGGGGGGGGCACAGAAAGAAAGCAACTTTAACTTTAAATGTGTTCTCAAACCCACCCACCCCCAGCCTACAAATATCATTGGATAAATAAATATCATTATCAATTTCTGTTTTTATCCCTTTTGTTTTTATTTTGGCAGTCTCGTTTAATGTTAATAAAAAGCAAATTTGCATATTTTTCAATTAAAACGTGTGTAATATTTGTTCATGTCTTGTGGCTCTCAAACTTCTGACGTTTATTTTATGTGGCTCTTACGTTAAGCAAACTTGGCCACCCCTGGATTAAATCATTCTAAGGAGGCAAATCTAAATGGCTGGACTAGTAAAATAATCTTGCGTATGCCTTCTGTTGCCTGGATGTATTTTTAGAATGTGACTAAACATTCCGTATAATCACAAGTTGTACGTTAACAAGATGAAGTCTTCCTCTTAAGGATGATGAATATTGTATTGGCTTTTACATCTCCCTTCAAGCCTGTATAGAATGAGAGACTGAGAACAAGTCTGGGCTCATGCATTTCTTCCTCCAACTCTTCCCACCTTCCACTGAGTTTTTTAAGAAGCCTCAAATCCCACCGGTGGAGGGGGGCATGTGAACATTACTTACTTGCATGTAATCTTTTACTGTAGCCACATCTACCTCATCTGTTACTCCATATTTTTTAAACTGAAGCTCATCCTGCAACATCTGCTTATAATACTTTCGATATCCCATTAATCTGCAAGCATCAACAGCTGCCTATTAAAAAGCAAAAAGTATACAATAAAATAGCTGTAATTTCATTGTGTCACCACTCCAAACCACTACTTATGAAACTCTCATGCTGTTTACACTGAGGTCAGATTTCACTTATGAATAGTTATGATGAAAAAAGGATCAATTTAGTCTATGAAAACAAAGAATTTGGAAAGATTCTACAATAACTGAGAGGCAATGTTATTCTCACAGTAGAGGAGTACACATGGGCTCTCTCTTAGCACCTCAAACCTCATGTTACGCATGATGTAAGTGTCACATGTAAAGATACCCATTCTCTGGAAGCCTGCTCTGCATGCTGTCCCTTGACTTCTTGAAGGCAAAGATTCATGACAATTAATCCTTCACCCAAAGTGGTGTTGGTGGAAAGTGCCGTCAAGTCATAGCTGACTTATGGTGAACTCTGTAGGGTTTTTCAAGGCAAGAGATGATCGGGGTGGTTTGTCACTGCCTGCCTCTGCATCGTGACCCTGGTATTCCTTGGAGGTCTCCCATCCAAATACTGGCCACAGCTGACCCCGCTTAGCTTTTGAGATCTGATGAGATCGGGCTACCCAGATCAGGGCAAAAAGTGCCTGCAGCATTATCACATCTGATGTACAGAAGAGGGAGGGAGCTCATGCCTTTTCAGTGCGTCCCGGAGGACGAGGCTCCCTGGGAGAGAGGTTCAGGAAACAAAGAAGGGCGCGGCAATCAACAGCTGGGCCAGGGAGCAGGCGGGCAGCCAGGAGTCATTGGAGGGATCTCCCCCCTCCCTTCTCACTCCCCCCTCCCTTCTCAGAGACCGGGGCCAGGAAAACGTGGACGGGCCCGTGTGAGAGGCGACGGGGCTTACCAGGGGGAGCAGGTGCGGAGACACTGCAAACGGCAGCGGCGGGCCCCCTGGGCTTCCCGGAAGCGGCCACTCCCCTGTGCTCGCCAACTCAGGGCGAGATCATGGAGGACGTGCAGGAGGGCGGGACTGAGTGGACGACACCCAATAGGGCTGATAGGAAAGGTGAGGGACAGGGGAAGAGCCCAGTCAGGGACTGGGAAAGGAAAGGGGAGGGATTACCTCGAGACTAGAGGAGGATAAAAGGAGAGAAGCCAAGGGAGCCGGGGAGGATTTCGGAGGCGACTGGCTCTGTCGGTGAGAGAGAACCAGATGCGGCTGTCGACCCCAATGGAGGAGAGTGATGTAACTCCCTCACTCCTCCATATCTGAGGCTCTTGCTTCTCTCTACGACCCTCAGCAATCATGGCACACGCCCCTCCAAAGCTAGGGGACACCCCCAGGCGTGACAGCTATAACTTCTCATTAACCATACAAACTGAGTCTAAGACCTGGGTTGAAAGAACAACTTTTACATGAACACTGTGACATCTTGGATACAACGGATAACAATAGTAGCTGAGCCACACTACAGAGCAACACAAAGGACTAAGTATGCGGCTCCGAAGTAACACGTAAAAAACTGTTTGTCATTATAGAGATTTATTTCTCAGTGCTGACACCAAACATTGAATACTAAGTGAGAAATCAGTTAGCGGTATTCACAAATCACAAAGTATTAGTTCAAATAATTACACAATAAGTTGATAATTTTTAAAAGATGGTGGGAGAGAGGCAGCGCAGAGGCTCCTCCCAGGACTAGCATTCAGACCACCATGCTTGCTTTTGTTCCAGCTGCTGTGAAGTGCTTTGCAAACCATTTTTTTCCTCAGGGAGGGTGCAACGGGTTGTGTGCACACTCCTTTACTACCTCCCTCCTTTTAAAAGGCTAAGGTATAATAATAACCTTAAGTCTCTCCACAACATCTGGATTTGTTCCTTTCTGTTTAGTGGTGAGGGAATGGGGATGGGGAAGAGATTGCTCACCACCCTCTTTTACGGGGCATGGGGAGGGGGGGGCTGCCAATCGCTACGCCAGGCCTTGCATTGGTGCGTGTGTGTGTCTGTGGCGGATGGGGGGCAGCCTCACACCCAGCAGAGGCGCCACAGAAAAGGAGAGCATGGGGAACTGAGAGCTCGCTTTCACCTCCTGCTTACACCCAGGGTAAGGAGCGGAACAAGGTAAAGAGGCTACCACAGCTGCCCTAAGAAGCGCATTCTGCCCTCCTGAGCTGCTGGCCCCCCAGAAAGGGCCCTGCTGCTTTGGATTGTGGCAAACCCCTGAATGTTTAGTCTGAAGAAGGGGAGCCCTCCACACCCCCAGTGACCCTTGCTCTATGCCAGAAGAGGGCAAAAAACCTCCAGGATCTCCAGCCAAACTGGCCTGGAGGGGGCTCCAGATGTCTTGGAAACTGCAACCTAGGGCACGCAAACCATGTGCCATCATCTCAGAATGCACACTGCCTATGCTCTTCCCCAGCCAGTTTACTGTGATGTCACACATTCTAAGCCTCAGGTCTAGTACCAGAAGACAGGTTTGGGGACTGACCCACTAGTCCAAGCCAAGGCCTCCAAAACTCACGCTACCAAGGAGGCAGTTGCTCCTCATATGCTGATCAGGGGACCAACTCCATCAGCATCTCCCCTTATTAATCTCATACTCTCAGTACAAGATTCGAGCCCAGTGGCACCTTAAAGACAGGCAAGATTTCCAGAGTATGCGTTTTCCAGAATCAAAGCTCCCTTCATTAGATACTCTGACTCTCAAACACTGATATCCCAAAAAGCCTTGCTGGCTTCCAAAGGGCTACTGGGCTGCAACCCAGCTTTTCTAATGCACACCGACCAGGGCTGGTGCCAGGTCTTTTTGCACACTAGGCGAGGCTACCTTCTGCCCCCCCCACCAATTTTCAAACATAAATGCATTTTAGGAAGAATAAAAAACACAAAATTTGACATCGCTATTTTTAAAAAAAATTGTGAGAACAAGTAATACAATCTCTGATTTTCTCTTGAACAGAAAAACACAAATCACAAAGCATTTTGAAAAATCCTGTTAATTGTGATGTTGAAATTTAAGTCTCTGTAATGTTTCCATTTCAGGCACATCAGAATCTCATTTTGGATGCCTTTTCTTTAGCAAATTTTGTCACCAATTCCTTTAGGTCTAGCTTTGAAACAAAATGTTACAACTTAAAGGACCATTAAATAGAATTTATTTTATTTTTATTTATTTATTTTATTACATTTATACCCCACCCTCCCCACGAACAGGCTCAGGGCGGCTCACATAAGGCACCAAGTGCGTTCAGTATACAAAATTACATAATACAAAATACAAATTAAAACAAATTAAAATCAATTCTATGGATGCACATATAAACTCCCAACATCTTGCGTAGCAGGGGGGGAAGGCTGGGGTGGTGAAAGATGTTACCCAACTCCTCCAGTGGTCTCTCTCTATAAAGGCACGGTGGTGTAAGTGGCCGTGGCAGCTCCTACTCATAAGCCTGGCGGAAGAGCTCCGTCTTGCAGGCCCTGCGGAACTGCACAAGGTCCCGCAGGGCCCTGATCTCCTTCGGGAGCTCATTCCACCAGGTAGGAGCCGCCACTGAAAAAGACCTGGCCCTTGTTGCCACAAGCTTGGCCTCCTTAGGGCCCAGGGTCACCAGCCAGTGTTGTGACCCCGACCAAAGTGCTCTTTGGAGAATATATGGGGAAATACAGTCCCTCAGGTAAGTCGGACCCTGGCCATGTAGGGCTTTAAAGGTAAGCACCAGCACTTTGAAGCGAATCCGGTATGCTATAGGCAGCCAGTGCAGCGCTTTCAGCACAGGTCGGGTGTGCTCCCAGCCCGGGATGCCCACCAACAACCTGGCTGCAGTATTCTGCACCACCTGTAGCTTCTGGATTTGCGACAAAGGCAGCCCCATGTAGAGAGTGTTGCAGTAGTCCAGCCTCGAGGTGACTGTCGCATGGATCACTGTAGCTAGGTCATTGCAGTCAAGGAAAGGAACCAACTGCCGTATCAGCCGAAGATGATAAAAGGCCGATCTGGCAGTGGCTGCTACCTGGGCCTCCATTGTCCAGGAGCACTCCCAAACTCCTAACCTCCGAAGCTGGCACCAAATTTACGAACGGCAATGAAGTTGTCCTGGTCAGAAGTATTGTTTAAAAGACAGCAACATCTGAGTTAAATCTATGCTTCCTATGTCTACAAGACGGAGCTCTTCCGCCAGGCTTTCGAGTAGGAGCCGCCACCACTATACCACCATCGTGGTCGCTTTACCATCTGCCTGGCCTTGGACGGGGGTGAAATGTTGCCCAGAAGAGGAACATCTTTCTGGCGCTCCGGCGTTGTATTTCATTGGCCGCCAATGAGGAAATGAGGGATATCGACCATCTTGAACGTTAAATGAATTTTTAAATTGACTGTTAATATGTACTACACAGCACCAGTTTAGTTGTATTTATCGAAGTTTTAATGTATTCCATGTTTTATTCGGCTTGGCCGCTTGTTAGCCGCCCTGGGCCGTATGGGTAGGGCAGGATACAAATCCCCAAAAATAAATAATAAATACTAGCTGAAAGACATTGTGAACTGTTTTATCCATTGCAATAGGCCTTAAAAAGCAAGATAACTGAAATCTTGCTCTGAAAGCACCTCAAAGCCAAATCAAAGGTTATCCTTCTGAACAAATCTTCCCTTTGGTCTGTCAGGGGGAGGATTGTAGCAACTGTCCTTCCCTAAGAAGTCCTGACAATAACAAAGGCTGGGAGGAACACCAAATCTTAGTAATGGACAATGTAGTTATTCTTTTTGTTGATGTTGTTGATCAAATCAAGAATTGTTGATTACATACATCCACTAAGCATTAAAAAAAGACAAATTGGGGAAGTGGAAATCCCCCCCCCCATTAGATTATTCTGAGAGCCTTTATTTCTGAAGGTGAAAGCTAGCTGGAAGCAGAACTAGCAAGGGAATGGTTTGCACATGTCTTGCACAAAGGGCAACTAATTTATATCCAGTGGTCCCAGTCATGGGCTGTTTGTTATCACTGGAAGATTTAACAATGACGCTGAAATTGGTTCCTTGATTCCCATTCCTTATTAAGTACAAAACTGTGTGAATGGTCTGAATAAAGATTCCAAATATAATACTAGTTTTTAAGCATGGGTTGTTTTTTTTAACACTACAAAGGGACAATGTCAGTGGTTCTAGTATCCAGTATCTGCTTCTGTCCTTGCAAAAGAAAAAGGCAGTATGCTGTCTTTAAAAGCAGTGAATGTAAAAGCTCCCCTTTTACCCTTGGAAAGGCAGCAGCAACCCTACATGAGATGTGCTGGATTTGGGTGTGGTCCTGCCACGCAGCGTCCTGCTGAAAAGCAAGGAAGGGAACCCGCAGGACTTCCTTCCGACCTTTGCTGCTTAGGTATGTGTGGACGTGGCTGGCTGCCTCTCCCGGCTCACAGTGCCAAGCAAGGAAAGGACACCACTGCCCATAAGTTCCATAGGAACTTCCTCACTGTGCAAATGCAAGCTGCAAAGACCGAAGAGGACTGCCTGGCTGGCTGCACATGAAAGCTCTTTTTTGGAAGGAGGGGTGTCCAGGTGGAATCTTTTATTGCATCCAGGAGACCACTGACGCCCCTGGCTAAATGGCATGGGGGGGGGAGATGACAAGTGCTCCGGAAAGGAGTGATATATACTAGTTTGAGGACCGGGGGAGTCGTTAGATTGGATCATGGGACTGACACTTGAAAGGGAAGCAGTTCGCCGCAACAACGGGACGGAGGATTTTTAAAAAAGAAAATGCAAATCGAGTCTATGGGAAGTAGCGAGAGGACGCAAGCTCTACTTCTGAAGGGCGAGCATTTACACACACACACACACACACACCCCTACTCCGCCTCTCTCTCTCTCTCTCCTGCTACGCTGTTCCTCAGCAGCCCTGCAGGCTTTGAGGCAAAGAGGCCGGTCTTGGAAGCCAAGCGGAGGAGGACCCAGCTCACCTGTCACACACTTCAAAGGCAGCGTCGGGGGGGGGGGGGGGGGGCAAAAGCACTGAGAGAAGGGCTGGGTGGTGGCCACGAGCCTGAGATGTGGTGAGATGCCTTCTGCCCGGCACAAACGGGCCCCGGTGAGCGGCAGGGGTGCCACTATCCTCGGCACAGTGCCACTCCCACTTTCCAGGGCCGCAAAAGTTTGCTTTTCTCTCCAGCCACAGCAGCGGAGAGAGCGCCCTACTGAAGCCAGCCCCCGTGCTAAAGGGAGGCAGTAGGGTGGGGAGATGAGAGGAAAGGAGGCAAGCCAGGCAGCGAAGGGACGGGAGCCGCCCATGGGCAAGCAGCGGCGCTTCACTGAAGGATGACAAGAGCAGCGCAAGGGAGCTCTCTGCGTGGTGGCGCATCTCTTCCTGCTCAGGGATGGACGCGCGGGCACCCCCTGCTCTCCTTTTGCTTGCCCACCAGAGGTGCTGTGAAGCAGCAGCAGCTCACCATCGTCTTGCCGCCGCCACCGCTGCCTGGGTTCTGGGGGCAGGCCCCCGTGGGACTCGACGGCTTCCAGGAGGCTGTCGAGGGAATGCTCCTTGAGGCACTAAGGCGCTTGGAGCAGTGCCGAGGTGCTGGCCTTGAGCTCCTGCTCTTGCTGCCACTGCCGGGGTCCTCCTCCTCCGGCGCTGCCCGGGTGGGCTCGCCCTCCTTGCCTCCACCACCATGCACCATGCCCCGCTTCTCCTCAACGACGACGCTGCCATCCTGGTCATCATCAGCCAGCACCCAGCTTCTCTAGAGGCGCCGCACCAACTGCTCAGTCGGGCCACTGGAGGGCTGCTGGGAGCAGGAGGCGTGGCCAAGCCGGGACGCAGCCGGAACACCGTTCCAATGTGTTCCGCCCCCAAAATAGCCCTGACCAACCTGATAGGACAAACTTGTTCTATTGGTTTCATAACAGACTGGGGTTTCTGTACAATAATGAAGAATAAGAAAGTGGTTTATAAAACAACATTTAAGAAAGCTGAGTGATCTCTCCACTGAAGTAATAGATGATAAAGATATTACAGAATGTAAAACCTAAGAGTGAGTAAAGAGAAACATCCAGTAGGTCACCTCACTTCTTGGTGTTATTATTGTTTTTCCACTGATGTATTTGCTGCCTTGGCCCCCTGAGATGCAAAATATCTTGAACACAATGAAAGGGGGAAAGTTAGACCCTGCAAATCTGAAAGGGAAAAAAAAAAGATTTCTCTACTATCATGAAAAGCTTAATTTTTATCATATGCAATTTCACATTTGCTCTCATGTAGATAATACCATTAGAGTAAGACACAGGGAGGGGCAAACAAACTTGACACAAAAACTGGAATCAAGTACCACAAGGGTAAGAAAGAAGTCTAATAAAGGGCCAGTATTAAAAACCTAGTTGAAACTTATAATATACAAAAATACATGTATTTATTAGAAAGACAATTAAAAACATATAAGGGGCCAATTAGAACCTTTTAAATGTTTTTCTGCATTATAAGTTAGCTGTGACAAAAGAATTGCATCTTTGTTGCCAATTGCAATATAGAGGTATGCTTTGATTAAATCAATGGTGCTGACTTCAACATCAGCATCTTAATCCAACATGTGTAAATATATGTGCTAATCATTTTCTTTTTAAAAAAAAAAACAGGTCATCTGCACGTAAATGTTTCCCTGCTGAAGGTACAGTTTCCCTGCTGGATCAATATAAACTGCTCTTACATATGGTTCTTGCTGGACAAACAGTGGATATACCGTATTCATCATGATCTTTGGCTTGGTCAGTCATCTGTTCGTGGAGCAGAACTGAATTTAGGCCTTTTCCTTTACTCTTAATAGTAGGTGATCAATGCTGTCAACACTGACAGGTTGCCTTTCTTTGGTGTACATGAGGCTCTGTGGACTGGAGCCAGTAGCCCTGGATACATGACCCCTCTGCACGTTGACTGAAGGCAGTGTCCACATGCACATTCCCTACCTGTGATCGGGGATGCTGCTTTCTGGACACTGCCAATCACGGGGAGGAGGTGTATGCTGGACACTGCCTGAATGAATGCACAAACACTGTACTCATGAGCTGGCCATCATGCAGAGGTGGGGGCCAGAGCCCTCAGGCCTGCTCTCTCTCTCTCTGCAAGTTCAGTCACCTTATGGAGCAACATATGTGTCCAGGGCCTAGTGCATTTAATCATAATATGACAATCCTTAGCATACAGTTTTAGCAAGATATAGTTTACTTGTTCAGCAAAGATTCTGGGTAGATTCTGTTCTGAACTGTACTGGTTCAGACTTTAAGTAGGAGTCCTTCCATCTATAAATGCAAAAGAAAGACAGCAACTCCTACATATTGATAATTAGTGGTTTAAGGAGAAAGGTCTGGATCACTCCCTGGTGTGCTAGATCTCTACATGCAGGGAGGTTCTTTTACATGGGGAGCATTCCAAGTTCTCCAAGAGAAACAACTGTAATTAAACTATTTTCCTTCCTAACCATGGATGCTTGTTACACAGGCAAAAGGGTCTTATTTCATATGCATGTGCACACTAAAATTGCAAACAATTACCGGTGAAATGCACTAAAATCCCCTTGAAAGCAGAAAGGGCAAGAAAACAATTAGGAAAGATTTTTTTAAACAGTTTACAAAAACAATACCAGGGTTTAAATCACACAATCAAACCTAATAACAGCGCAATCCTAAACTGACTTATAAGCTTGTACACCCATTTATTTCGGTGGATTTAGGAGGATGTAACTGTTTTGGATTGCATAGTTATAATCTGGAATATATGACAGAGAACTGCCCTGACTGACCTGGCTACTTGTCATCATCTAAAATGATCTCATGTTTTTGTTTTTTCACAGTAAACTCTTGCTAACCCTATAATTCTTCTATCATTATTCTTATGAGGGCATTGCTATATGAGAAAACAGGTCAAGGAAGTAATATTTATCAGCAGGAGCTATTCCTTTTCAGGCATTCTTCTAAGGAGGAATAATATAACATTGTAATCAGCCTGAGACAGTGCTGCAAAATTTAATATTTGAGGTCTGAAACTGAATAGTATGTATTATTTAGAGAATGTCTAGACCATGCTAAAAAGAGGCTTATCTGAAGTGGTAGATCATATCAAATAATAAAATAAAATACAATAAATAAAAGTTATCCATGTTAAAATGATCAATAACACCCGCCCAAAAAAGTCCACTCTACTCCCAACCCAGCCAGCCTTACAAGGTAATGATTGGTCCATGGCAAGGGTACAGTGGATCCTCTAATTGCCAAACCATGCACTTGTTCACAGGGAAAACCAAACCAAGCATATGCCCTACTATGTGTGTATGGAGGGACCAGAAAATTCTACAGCACCTCCATGGTGGTCACGCCAGCCTTCACATAAACACTGAAGCCCCGAAGGACCACAAACCTTGGGGTCCTTAATGCCAAGCCGAACATCACCTCTGTCAGCCCAGGCAGGGAGTCAGTTGGGCAGTGAGGTGGGTGGGACACCAACTGAATCCCTTTTCTATCCCAAGTCCCCAGCCTCAGGTACATACACTCAAAACTGAGGTTCTGGGTAACAAAGCACCCCAGTGAGTGCCACAAGGGTCCAACAGACCACAGCCACGCCCCCTTCCTGCCCACCAAGCCCAGACTGGTGCTGAACCAGGAATCTTGCCATTTTGTAGTTTGAGCCAATGAAAACAAATGTACCCATTTTACCTGAATCGGACTTTGCATAGAATACTAGGATCCTTAAGAAGTTCAGCCTCCAAGGGACTCACTCTTTTCAAAATATCTTGACTAATGCAATGCTCCTGAAAGAAAAATGGTCTTTGTTTACTGTTTTTATAATCATGAAACTCATACAGTAACATGCTTCACTCTGAAAAAGAATGGGAACTCTTCAGAAATTAATGTTAACCATCACATTCATCTAATTATCACCCTTTAATATGTGCAAATTCTAATACAATCCATCTAATCTTCAGGCAAAGTAGCAATAATATGTAGCTAAAACATAAAGTAATTTAAAAATTAAAAAAACCCTGCTCTTCAGAAAGCTAAGCCATTATTCACTTGTTTAACTTCCAATGCAAAGAAAACTGGGAGGACAGTACATAAGAAAAAAATAAACCTGCCTGTCAGGTCTTAGGCTAGGCAAGTTGTGACAGTTAGGGTTGAGACGACCACTGTAAATCAGCAAAAACCAAAATATTAGTAATTCACTAGGCTTGCAGTGATTGCTGACAACAGAGAGCCAAACATAACAACAGCCTGAAGTTCCTACTGGTTGAGGAAGGGCATGCTTTTTTAGAAAGAACCAATTTTTCTGCAAGTTTTGCAATGTTCTCCCAGAATGAATTAACCCCCTCCTGGCTCCTGCACATAGGGAATCCTCTTTGAAATTAGAGAGAGTGGTAAGAAAAGGATGAGAGAGCAGTTAAACTACAGGACGATCATCTAGCTAAATGTCACCAAGTACAATAACCTACCGCTGCACAGATTGTATGTTTCAGGAGCTTAAACAACCTTGTTTTTACATGAATCCACCATGCTCTCTGAATAGTTTTTGCTGCCTTTTCTTCTTGAATCCTAGTGGAAGAAAAGACAAACATCAAATGGGCAGTCACTGTGAGTTTAGAATGTAAAATACTAGAAAAAAAGACAGAAAGACACCAGTCAACAGACTACACAATAACTAATACAGAGCTGGTGACATTTTGGCATCAACTTGCAATATTAAATTTTTAAAACCAGTGTAGCAAATTCAAAGGATCAGCCTAATTCAATGAAACTCAGGTGCATTTAATACTGCAATCTCAAACTTGTTTAGCAAGTATAAGGACAACTCAATTGTAATTCTAAAAAATGAATCCCATTTTAACTGAGCATGTTTGTGTTGTGGATTTCAGTGGGACTTAAGTTCAGCTTTCATGTCCTATAAACACATATGACTTTGGAATTTTTAAGTAGTTTTTCACGTGATGGAGTGATTTATTACTGTTGCACTAACCATAGCACCTGAAATGTACACAATATCCTTTCCCATAATAATATTGGTAAGAGCACAGTAGAACTTGGGAGAGCGAGTAGGATGGCAAAAGAGGGCTATGTGCAGAGACAAAAGGGCCCAGGGAGGCAAGAGTTGTTGGAGACAGAAAGACATTCTAGGTGTCTATATGCCAATGCTAGAAGCCTCTGGGCTTGGATGAGAGAGTTCAAGTGCTTGACGCTAAATGATGATTTAGATATAGTAGGTGTCCTTGAAACATGGTGAAATGGGGGAAATCAATGGTATACAGTCATCCCTGGGTAATATGGTCTAAAGGCAGGACAGGGAGGGATGTGTTGGGGGAGGTGTTGCATGGTATGTCAAAGAGGGAATAGAGTCATATCAGTTACAAAACATTACGGGAATATACTCTCGAACAGAAGCAATATGGGTAGAAATACTGGCCCCAAAGAATTACTTAAAAGTGGGGGTATATTATCAGCTACCTGATCAAACCCTTGAGGTTGATCTGGAGATGGAGAAGGAAATAAGGTAGCTGACTAAAGCAAATAATGTTGTGATACCAAGAGACTTCAACTACCCTCACATTGGCTGTGTAAACATGTGCTCGAGTCATGCTGCAGAAACAAGATTCCTAGACATCACAAATGACTGCATGTTGGAATAGATGATCACAGAGCCAACCAAAGGGGTAGGGATCTTAGACTTGGTTGGGAAACATGACCACAGTGCTACTAAATTCAGCATTCTTGACAACAGAAAGTTATGCTTAAAGTTCAAAACATTAACATTTGATTTCAAAAGAAGGAACTTTACAAAAATGAGGAAACTAGTTAGAAGGAAGCTCAAAGGGGAAACACAAGAGAGTCAAATCCCTAGAGGATGCTTGGAAGCTACGTAAAGCCACACTAATTGAAGCCCAGATAGCTTATGTCCCCCAGGTTACTTATTTTATTTACATTATTTATAGTCTGTCTTTCTCACATGGACTCAGGGTGGATTATGCATAGTGAGTCAGTACAATCAATAAAATGGGACATTTAATAACTAATACATTAGGAGATAAGTCTGGAACCACAGAGAGAACAGGAGCATAGCATGAGTAGTAACGTGACACAATAAGCAGCAAAGAAATTACATAATAGGATTCTACTTACAATATGCTGTATACAGCAGAAAAGACCACAAGTTGCAATCATTTATCCAAGTAAGTTTGTGAATCCATTTAGTACTGTGCAGCCTTATTACCTGCACAGAAAAGCCCCCTTGAACAGTTGAGCTTTCCTGACCTCTTCCAGGAGGCCATTCCACAAGGTGGGAGCCACAATGGAGAAAGCAGGTGTATGGTCAGTTGTTGATTTTACCCATTTGTAAGTTGGTACCTGCAGAAGCTCCTGCCGACATGAGCAAAGTTGTCATGGCAAAGCATAGAGAGATAGGCAGTCCTATAAATAAGAGGGGTGAAGACCATGAAAGGCCTTATACATGATAGCCAATACCTTAAACTGAGCTCAGTAATAAATGGGCAACCAATGGATCATCTGCAGAATGGGAGTAATATGCATGGTCCATCTAGCTCCCACTAATAGTCGAGCCACAGCATTCTGGACCAGTTGGGAGTTTCCAAATTGATTCTGAGGGGAGACCAACATGCTGTGTATTACAACAGTCTAGTCTCAATGTTACTGTGGCGTGGATCCAGGTGGCCAGGTCAGGTATATCACAGGCTGGACTGAGTTGGAAGTAAAAGGCTTCTTTTAGAAAGTGGAAGGTCTGCTCTAGTGAAGTGAACAGAAGGGAGCACAGGGTCTGGCAAAATAAGTGTAAGTTAATAATTAGGTATGCAAAAAAAGAATTTGAGGAGCTAATTGCTAAAAGCATCAAGAGAAGCAATAAGCATTTCTTTAAATATATCCAGAGCTGAAAAACAGCCAGGGAAGCAGTTGAACATTAGGATGACAGAGGAATAAAAGAATTACTAAAGGAAGATGGGGGAGAGAAAGCAGCAAAGTATAGCCTGATCTTGTTAGATCTCAGAAGCTAAGCAGGTACTTTAATGGGAGACCACCAAGGAAGACTCTGCAGAGGAAGGCAATGGCAATCCACCTCTGCTTCTCTGTTCTATGATAATAGCATAACTGCCACTAATTCCATTAACTATACGGCATCAGAATTAGATGATATTCCCCAATGGCCTCCAGTGAGACCAGAGGAGGTTATTCCACTTATTGAACAGCTAAATCCAAGAAAAGCCCTGGCCCAGATACAATTCCACCTGAAATAGTTAAAATAAATCCGGACTGGTGGGCCACCTTCTTGACAGATTTTTTTACCATAGTCGATAGAACAGGAATAATGCCAGAGTCTTGGACAAATACAATACTGGTTCCCATCTTTTAAAAGGGTAATTATCAGTTACCATCCAATTACCATCCAATAAGCCTCCTCTCTGTTATTGGGAAACTTTATGCTAGACGACTGGTTAACGAACTTGGATCTTGGATGTTAGAACAAGGAATTCTGGGTCAAGAACAACTAGGTTTTTGTAAAGGGGAATCCACCCTGAATTACTGTGTGACTCTTATGCACCTTGTTAATACGTCTAAGAGGCAAAAAGGCACCAAAGTATACGCAGCCTTTCTAGATCTAAAAGGTGCTTTTTATTCAATCATAACGTCTATGGGAGAAACTTAAGTTGATGGGGATAGAACCGAGGCTTTTACATTTAATAATGCTACTAGCATGGATGGCGTCAAATGGGAATTAGATAAGCATATGGAGCAGAGGTCCATCAGTGGCTATTAGCCACAAGGTATAGATAGGGGCTCTGGGGCAAGTGATGTTCTGTCTTCTTGGTGCTTGGGAGGGCTTCTAATGTCCTGGCCCCACTGGTGGACCTCCTGATGGCACCTGGTATTTCTGGCCACTGTGTGACACAGAGTGTTGGACTGGATGGGCCTTTGGCGTGATCCAACATTGGTGTCTCTTATGTTCTTTTGTTCTTAATGAAGCTTCATCATAATACGACCTGCCAAATTAGACTTAACAACGTGGGTGACCTAACTGACAAAATTCCAATTAATATAGGAGTCAAACAGGGCTGCCTTTTAGCGCCCTTTCTATTAAACCTATTTATAAATGATTTGGCACCCACCTTAGATCCGATAAATGGTAACAGTCCTAAACTTGGCTCGATCCCCACCCCTTTACTCCTTTATGCTGATGACGCAGTGCTATTGTCTCTAACTTGTATAGGGCTGAAACGCCTTTTGAAGAGCTTTGTAGACTATTGTGAAAAGAATAGGCTAGTTCTGAATTTTGAAAAATCCAAAATTATGATCTTCAGTAAGAGTTGGAAGCCATCCAGATGGAATACTGGAGGCTATTTCATTGAACAAGTCAAAAGCTTTAAGTATTTGGGTATCCACTTTTACTATAACACCAAATGGGTCTATCATAAAGAGAGAGCAATTGAGGCAGTGAACAACAATGCTGCGGCAATTACACGTTTCCATTATACCTGGGGTAACTACTACGTGCAGGCGGCCCTTAAAGTTTTTAATGCCAAATTAGTTGCTCAATTATTCTACGGAGTACCCAATCTGGATTGAAGCCTTAATTGGGGACTTGGAAAGAATTCAGTCCAGATTCTTGTGGAAAATTCTTGGACTTCCCTCTTGTGTTCCATATGCAGCTTTATGCTTAGAAACCAATCAAAGGCTTCAATCGACCAGAGCATGGCTGATAACAACTCAGTTCTGGCTTAAACTTCATTTCCATTCCAGGAGACTGAGATGGAGCCATGAAGGAACTAGAAAAGGTCCTTAAGTGTTAGGAAGTGTTGATGGAGACCAAGAGCAAGATAATTCATACTATGGTGATCCCCCTTACTATGTATGGATTTCAGACAATGAAGATAGCTGACAGGAAGAAAACTGATTAATTTGAAATGTGCTGTTGGAGTTTCAAAGATACCATGGACTGCCCCCCCCAAGTAGGTTAAAGTATAGATCAAATCAAGCCTGAATTCTCACCTAGAAGCTAAAATAACTAAACTGATGCTAACATACTTTAGTCACATCATGAGAAGACACTGGAAAAAACAATAATGCTTGGGAAAATTAAAATAAGTAGGCAAAGAGGAAGACGCAACATTAGATGGATTGACTCAATAAAGGAAGCCACAGCCTTCAGTTTGCAAGACTGAGTGAATTACAGGACTTTTTGGAGATCATCAATTCACAAGATTGTCCTTAGTCAGTACAGAGCCACCCCACCTCCAACCCTTCCCCCCCTATCCTTCCGATATAATATATAACCGGGAATCACTGTATCCCACTGATTTTCCTCATCCCACCAAGTTTCTGAAATACCCACAATGTCTATTTTTCCCTCCAACACCAAGCACTCCAACTCCCTGATTTTACCTCAGACACTTCTAGCATTTGTATAGTAACAGCTGTAATTTCCCATACAAGTTAAGCCTGCAACCTTCCTCTTGCTATCTCGAGACCTTGTCAGGCAGTCCATGTCACTAGCCATGGTCTCAGTAGACAATTTCAATCCACCTCCCTGTAGAAAAGCAACAGGTACCCCTCATCTCTCTGAGATGAGCCAACCCGAACCAGAGACTTTTCATCTCCTGTCAGCTTTCCCCCAATATTCAGTTTAAAAACTGCTCTGCCACCATTTTAAGCGCCAGCAGCCTGGTTCCTTCTCGGGACAAGTGGAGACCGTCTCACCTGTACAGCTCCCTCTTCTTCCAAAAAGCATCCCAGTGCCTAACAAACTTAAAACCTTCCCCCCTACACCATTGTCTCATCCATTCATTGAGACTCCTCTTGCTTTCATATTTTTAGCTGTTTTTTATATTAAAAAAAAGACTCCTGATCTGTGCCTGTCTCTCCAGCCCTGCACGTGGAACAGGTAGCAGTTCTGAGAAAGCTACCTTGGAGGTCCTGGACCTACGTTTCCTGCCCAGCAGCCTAAATTTCTCCTCCAGGTCCTCACGACTGCATTTCCCCACATCGTTGGTGCCGACATGCACCACGACCACTGGCTCCTCCCCAGCACTATCTACCAGCCTATCTAAAACACGCGTAATGTCCACTACCTTCGCACCAGGCAGGCAAGTCACCATACGGTCAGTACGCGGGTTCGCCACTCAGCTGTCTACCTGCCTAAGGATCGAATCACCAACTACCAAGAGCCCCCCTCCCTCCCTGCCCAGGGATGGTTCCTTGGTGCAAAAGGATACCTGCTCACGAGCTGGGGGGAAAGTGCCTTCTGAGGGCACATTCCCCTTATCCTCAGCACGGTGCCCTGTTTCTCCTTGACCCTCATGCTCCCTGACAGCGGTGGGGCTGCCAGATCCAGAGTGGGACATATCTAACAAGTCCCCGAGAGTCTTTTTTTTCTGTGCGCCTGACTGTCTCTGCTTCTCCAGGTCAGCCACCTTGGCCTCAAGGGAGCAAATACGTTCACTGAGAACCAGGAGCTCCTTGCACCGAGCACACACCCAAGACTTCTGTCCAGTGGGCAGACAGTCATACATGTGACACTTTGTGCAAAACACTGGATAGCCCCCAGCCCCCTGCTGGCATTCTGGCTTCATAATTCTTTTAAAATAAGTAAATATTACTTTTAAATTTTAAAACCCTTTGTATTTATGTGGTTTTTCTTGTCGAAGTCAACGTACCTTACGGGGAAGACAAAGAGCCTAGGGCCTTGGCTTTCTGGCTCTTCTTGGGGTTCTTACAGAGCCCACAGGCAAAGAGCTCTTTAGCTCACCCAGAGGCTCGTGCCAGAGGCTCGTGCCTCTGGCAAGGTGCTTTCTTAAATACTGAATTACAGTCAATCACAGTCCAACAATGCCCCTTCCTCTCCCTCTCTCAAGCATCCAGGACTCTGCAACAACTCTAATCGCTTTCACACACAGTCATCCCACACAATATCCTCAGCTGAATCCCCTCAGCTGAAAGCAAGTAAAAAAACACTCACCCCTCTAGCAGCTCTGTCTCCTGCTCAGAGCTCAGCTCTGTGGCCCCAATCTGTGGATTTAGATATCTGTAGATGGGGGCCACAGGTGCCTAGTAGTATACAGACAAGTGAGGACCCACAATACTCGTAGGAGGGAATCCGTCCCATCACTGCTGCCAGTTCCCCAGACTACACAGATCAGTGAGGGGGATGGGAGTCTTGCAGGGGGAATACTATATCCCCACATTGGTGAGGCTCCAGGCCCCGACACCTACCATTCAGCACTGCTGACGATGAGATGCATTTTCGGAAGGAAGGAGGAATTACAAGGAGGATTGATTGAACTCCAATTTATTGGAGTAAACTCGGAAAAAGGAGCAGAGCACGTATGCGAAATCACATTGCGTTCCTAGCATGGCTTACAAATAAATACCAGGTTCTGGCAGCCAAAATTCAAACCGTTAGGGAAGATTTGGGGGGCAGGGCAGATTTGGGAGGGGGCATTGCCCCTCAGGGCTCCATGGTAGCTGCAGGCCTGCTCAGCAGCTGCCAGCATCCTCCCCCTCCATAAGCCAGACTATTTTGTGCCAGGCACAGAAGTAAGCATTCTTCAGGAAACTGCTTATAAACCAAATTGCTCTATTTTTATCCTTGTATAATTTGGAATTCTGTTAGCTAATCCTCTTACCAGAAATTTTGAACTTCCCAGACTTTACTTATCAGAACAGACACAATTTTAAACAAAGCATTCTTCTATACTAGACTTGAAGGTCCAGTGCAGTACAGTAAGTATACATTTTGTTCACCAAGCTGTTTTTGGGTACATTTTTGTTTGTTTGGTACCTTTGTGGTTATGATTTGCCAAGCAGACAGCCAACAGAGGCAGAAATTCAACAGGTGAAGATTTCTCCAACTTTGTGCAAGGGAACACTTTGCCTGTCAAATCTCTGCCTCTCATGCAGATGCTAAAGTCACAAGCTACTGGCAATCCGAAGAATCATTTGTTTCTGCTTCATCCATGTAAATCAGGATTGTCAGTCTCCAACTGGGGCCTGGAGATGATCTGTTATTTTACAACTGATGTCCTCAGCTGAGTTCCGCTGGGGAAAATGGCTGCTTTGGAGTGGACTCTATGACATTATACTCTGCTAAGGTCCCTCCTCTCCCCAAACCCCGCACTCCTCAAGCTCCACCCCCAAATCTCCAGGAATTTCCCAATCCAGAGATGGCAACCCTAATAAATCCATCATGAGATTCGAAATAAGGAGCACAAATGCCCCCGCCCCACCGCTACCCCCGCAGCCTTACAGTTTTCTTTTATCACCGCTGGATTTGCCGAACAAGTTCGGGTCGTAATAACTACCCCACATCGTTCCGCGCCCCGGCAGACTCTCAACACCCCGGCCGGCGGCTACTGCTCTCCAGCGCGTCTTAGGCGTTGCCTAGCAACCAAGCCTCATACCTGGAAGAGAAACATGGTTGGCACCACCCATCTCCGTACACGTAATCTACGTCAACGACTTGCGCAGTGCAGCTCAGGCTATCCGCGAAGCTAAACATTCCTTTCGATTATATGTACCGTTCCGGCATCCGTACTTTGAACGTCATTACCGCCGCGCCGTAACGCACAGAGCGGGACTGTCACCGCTATGTTCAAGGTGAGAAAGTTTAATTAGTAGTCTGGGGAAGGCAGCTTATGACAGAACTGCATCCCTTCCTATCACTATTTTTTCCCCTTTATTAATTTGCTGTAGTCTCTCCGCATTCCCTTTTCAAGCCGTTTATACCCGTCTCCATGTGGTGCTCGGTTAAATCGCACGCAGTCCTTGGATCACGCGCAGCTGTTTCCATGGGGACAGAGTGCGCGGCTTTCCGACCCGGCAGCGGGAATTGCACGCGCCAGGATTCCCCGCCCCGCTGCTTCAGTTTCTTCGCGTTCGGGATTAGAGTTAAACCTCGGCGTGGGTGACGTGGTTAATTTGAGAGCAGTCGAGGTAAGACGAGATCAGGAAGTCAGTCGTACTAACGTGGGTGAGCTTTAAGGGCTTCTGCTACGCGGAAGCTGGCGGCTGTCGAAGAACCAGTGTTTTAGTCACGTGTAGCGACTCCTGTCACCACTTCACACTCAACAGGGCCAGAGCAGCGTCGATCTTGAATCAGAGGATTCGGCGTTTCTGCCACCCTTCACCCGCTTTCCCGAGTTAACCTTTCTCTGATTTCTCCTTCCTGTTGAAAGAAAGTTAAGAATGATTTGCATCTGACAGTACATCCGAGATTTCTTGCGTCTTAAAGGTCAATGAAGTTGCCGCTTTTTCAAACGGCAGGCATCCTGTAGTTGTTTTGGCTACGTTACAAGGCGTATGCGAGGACAAGCAAAATAATAGTTGGTTTTTTAAAAAAAGAGATGTCTGTGAGAGGGCCTGTTTCCACACGGCATTTTGGGAGAGAGCAATTTATGGGGTGACATGGATTTTGAAAAGTATGCAGACGGAGAGTGATTTCAGCTAAGCATACCTTTATTTAGTTCAGGACAAAGACGAAGAGACCAGCTCGCAGGCTGGTTTATATCTGTTCAGAAAACCCGCCACCAAGTACACCTAAACACACCCCCTACTCCCGATAGGCTATTTACAGTAACCGGGCGACCATTGGTCTCCCGGCTGAGAAGCTGGCCTTCCGATTGGGCCGGCTAGGATCCTACGGACCCATTGTCTTTGGACATGAAGCTATTGAAGAGTTGTGCCTGGCCAGCCCGGGCAAGTCCGGGCATGTCAGGCTGAATACATTACACCCCTCCCCCCTTGGTTCAGAAGGCACCCACAGACGAAGTCCTTCAAGTAGGCGGGTGGCTTCTTGGGGCGCGTCGAGCGTCGAGGCTCCGGGGTAGCGATGGGTTCGGTCTCGGGGGCCCTGGGAGCCGAGGGGCCTGGGGCCGACGAGGGCGCCGAGGAGGCAGGACAGGCTGGCACCACGGTGTGAGGTGCCTCGGGTTCCTCACGGAGAGGCGGCTG